GTTCCTTCATCAAATTCGCCAAATATTACTCTTGTCAAATTATATACTATACAGTATTAAAAATTTAAAATCTATTTCAGATCACAAAGCTTTTGTATTGGCAGTTTACAGATACATTGTTAAAGCTAAAACAATTTGTACTACAAAAAAAACTAATGCTACCATTCTTAGATTGGATGCTATTTTTGTGCTGTACTCCAAACTGTGATGCATATAGAATTGATTATTATTATTATTATTATTAGACGCATCATGTATAAGTATATTATATGTACTGTATTAGTGAGTGTTTGTATTGTATTGTGAATATATTTATTTTGTTTTCAGATTGAGGATGCATTCAATGCAGTCATTGGACTTATAATGAGTAAAGACAGTCCAAGAAGTGGTTAGTGTTTATAGTCCAGTATTAACCTGTTGCTCATAACTTTGAATATTCTTGTTTTACACTTCCATAAACTTTCTCCCTCCTTCTCTCTCTCTCTCTCTCTCCTCTATACCTTTTCTCTTATAATTTTCTTGTTCCGTCATTTCTTTCTTTTCTATAATTTGTCAATCATGTCTTTCTCTTAAATTCTCTTTCTCTTGCTACAGATCCACAAGACAGTATCATTATTGATCAGAACAGAGGTCGGTCGGAGAGGTCAGATCGTTGTGCTTGCTAATTGAAAGACACTATTTTAAGTGTGGATACTTCATTTTTTTGTATAAATCATTATTATTGAAAAAAAAACATTAACATTAATTACTCAATGATAAAATTATTAGTCACTTAGCATTTGCTCCAGCAGACTGGAATCGGTCGATTTCAATAATTATAATTTACAATAAAATATCATCATCTCATCATTGCTACAACAAGTCGCTGTGTTTATGAATCTCATGCAACAAATCGCTCTCCGGAGGGTCCGTTAAATTCTTTCTCAGTAGCACTCTGATATCGCTACCAGCAGAAAACGGAGTCGCAGTTGACTCCAGAAGTGGAATATCAGATACAACACTTGCTCTGTTGTCTTCGCCATTCTTTCTTTTATTGTGTTCATGATACGCCTCCCATCTTGTCAAGAAGACTTCAATTACCAGTGATATGAATAGAT